TATCGATTGCACCAAAAAATAAATAATAATAATAATACTTAAAAATAAAAGAATCAATATATTAAAACATTTTAAAGGTTTTTCACCTTAGTTACAATTTAATGCTTTATTTTTAAGAGTTTTTATTACGATATTACTATAAATTTCTATTTTTATTAATATAATATTGATTTATTAAATTTAGTGGTATATTAGGATCAATTTATGTCAAATGCAATATTTTATAAAATTGATAGTAAAATTACAATAGACAATAGCTTTGTTACTATGATTTTAGAAAGCAACTTATATCAACAACAACAACTTATAATAAAAATGGCTCGCTATATAAATAATAAAAAAATTTCCCTTAGCAGAAATAGAGCAAATGAGGACCTAGTAATTGCTAGATGGAATTATAAGACGGTATTACCTCTGTTTTGGAATTAATAAAAATTTAGAAATATTCACATAAAATCCTATTTAATAACAAGAAATATATTTTCTTAAAATTTGATAAGGAAATAAATATTCTTTTTTAGTACAATTAAATAGTGTAATAACAATCAAATCATATTTTAAAGGATACACAAAAACTTCATTATAAATTCAACGATTTTAAAGCTGATGCCATTTGCATATATTAATGGGTTTAAACCTTATATTACAACTTATAATAACGCAGCCTTTAAAACACGACCGTTAGAATTCAAAAACCCTTTCTTCTTCCCAAATGCGTCGTTCAATTCTCCATCCATCCATCTTACGCCACCGAACTGCAAGCGTGGGCACCACTCCTCTGCTACACTATAAATTAATTCTCTGATCTTCTCCCTCTATCAATCTTCCTCCCATCCAAATCCAAAAGCGAAAAAATGGCGAGGGCGGCCTTCTGGTCTTGCCTGGTGGTGCTTTTCCTCTTCCTCTTCGCAGCAACGGCCATGGGACTGGAGAAGGACTGCGTCATTTCGCCGGAGCCATCTCTGGGCGCCGGAGCTTCCATTTGAACATTCAATTTGACTTAGAAACCGAACTGATGTATTACTTATCAACAGGACTTGGTATCATTAGCCCTTTCAATGGAAGACTACCCATCAATTCATTTGTTTCTTATGCAGTGCAATAGAAAGGGGTTTTCTAAGTTGTATCTAAATAACAATTTCTTTCATATAGATTACCTTTAGTCTTACTTAAACGTGATACATAATAAAAGGATAACTTGGTCTTTGACAGATATAGAGTCTAATATTGGTCTTAACTTCACAAGATTGGGATCTATTTTTGTAGAAGCTGTGATGCATTTGTTTATCCTCTGGTTAACAACAGAGGAATGAAGAAGTATGTTTAAAATTATGAGTAGTAAATGTCATGATTCCCTTACACAATGGTAATATTATATAAAAATAAAGCAAGTTGTACTATGTGTGCAGAGTGATGCTTTTGCTTTACATGTAAGGTAGATGTGCATTTGGTTGCAGTGAACCATTGTATGGATGATTGTTTGAGATTTTAAATAGCTTTTTTTAGAAGACAAATATGATTTGGACAATGAGGATATTGGAAGCCTTTGGGTTGGGTCATATAAATGGTCTCTTGAAGTGGATCATAAAGGGAAATGTTAGATACATCCAATTGATGTATGGACCAATTTTTATTGAGAGAAAGAGTAAGACTCTGATAAAGGGCATCTTGGCATATGAGGGGTGTGAATGGAGGTTGAGTGGGAGTGAAGTTTCGAGGAGAAGTATTGGGTTGGAATTTAGGTCTTCCGTGAGATCCTCTGTCGTGATTGCTGTAGAGGGCATAGGATGGGTTTGGAGATAGTTGAGCTTTAGATGATTCAACAGTGAGGTTAATCTCTTCATTGATAAGAATAGAATAGAAGTCATCCAGACTTACATGTTTGAGTTGGGTTCTAATAGAGGTCTTGAATGATTGGTACTAGGGTGTTAATCCATTAAGAGTGCAGAGAATAATATATTCGGGATGAATGATGAATCCGAGAGCAGATATGTGATCGACGAGTCTTGATTTTGGTAAGATATTAAGATATGGAGTTTTTCATAGAAATGTTATGCAACTCATTTTTGAGCTTTATAACTAGGGATCTGTTGGTAGCTTGGAGACGACACCTCAAGGTGTGTTCCATATTTTACAACAGGTTTTGAGATTGTGAACATACGAAAGAATTAAGTTGGTAAAGGTTAAGCAGAGGGCGGGGGCTAGACTCTGGTTTATGAGGTGCCATTATCTATAAGCGAGATTTTCGCTGATGGTGGAGCCGAGATTGAAAATGTTGGGTGATGGTATTGAGTTGGTGCCTTAGAGAAATCCTGAGAACCCATTTGCTAAGAAGAGATTAAGAATATGAAATTTTCAGACGGAATAGGTATCATTGGAAAGCTGAGTTGGAACTATGATTTTGATATTGAAGATGACAAATTTCAGAGAAGGAATGTGAGGATCGAGAAAGGAGTCTAGCTATGACGTTTCAGACTACTCCATGCTGTATAAACCGTGAGGTATCACTGCTCTAATCTGTGATATATTTGTTTATCCTTTCGTTAACAACAAATGAATGAAGAAGTATGTATAAAATTATGAGTAGTAAATGTCGTGATGACTTTATACAGTGGTAAGAGTAAATAAAGATAAAGTAAGTTATACTATATGTGCAGAGTTATGCTTTTGCTTTATAGGTGTATGGTAGATGTGCATTTGGTTGTTATGTTCCTATGGTCTGGATGAGTTGATGCTGCTCCATTAGCTAAGGTAAGTGACAATCACTATTGCTTTTCCTAATATTTGTGGTATTTGTTAAAATGAAATTGAAGATGAGATATCTGCTTTGAAATTTCATCATCTCCTATGTGCATATTTGATGGGATCTCACATTTGTCTGTTTGATTGAGCATATAATTGTTAAATCAAGCTGGGAATATCCAAAAACTGCAAAGAGGTGAACATTAAAGCTCTAAAACTATTTTGACAACTAAATAGATTATGAACATAGCTCATCTTAGTCTATTGGTTGGGAGCTTTAACTATCAACCAAGAGATCTCGGGTTAGAGTCTTCTGTATGTGATGTGTGTGAGAGTTTATCTTAATTGGCCTAAATGTCCCTATATTTTTTTTTTTTAAATTTCAAATTTATTGTTGGCTTTTTGCAATGTTTCCAATGGCATTAAGATTCTACATTTGAGCTTTGAATCAATGGATTTGCCAGAAATGAATTGGTTCGGGCTGTGTAGGTGAATGAACTTGAACTGACCCAACCTTCTCTAGTCTTCAAGACGAAAACCCCTAGGCTGTATGTGGTCGTTGCTTCCATCATTTTCATTTCTCTATAACCCTAAATTTAACGCTCAAACTAGTTTTGGAATTATTAAATTCATCGGATATTAGATTTTTAATTTATGAACTCAGTTGGAGCACTCATAGTATCAAGAACTTCAAATGCTGCTCTCTACCTATCGTTCAAATACATTATCAATATTAATCTTTGTCGATATCAAATCAATCCTAACCTAAGCAAAACATTTTATGGCTTGAGCTACCCTTCATTCGTTCTCGGTGTCATCAAATATGTACTCATCCCAGGGGTGTAAATTTCGGGTCACGGGTCGGGTTCGGGTCGAACCCGGAACTGACCCGGGTTCAAACGGGTCGACCCTAACCCGACCCGGGAAGGCAAACGGGTCGGAAATCCGAACCCGGACCCGATTCGGGTCAAACCCGCTGCTGGCGGACGACGACGGACGGCGACGCGGAGGGCACGAGCTGGACAGCGCGGGCAGGCGCGGGCAGCGCGGGCGGCAGCTCGGGCAGGCGCGGGAAATGCAAAAATTCAAATTTTTTTGAATTAAACGGGTTCGCGGGTTGACCCGGCAACCCGCCGGGTCAACCCTAACCCGACCCGTTTTTTAAACGGGTTGAATTTGTGAACCCGAACCCGACCCGTTTATCAAACGGGTCGGGTCCAACCCGGATTTTCCAGGTCAGATCCGGGTCGGATTTTCGGGTCGTGTCAAAAGTTGACACCCCTAACTCATCCTGTCATCCATTGTTTCCAAGTTATCTAATCTCCAACTTCATCCCTTAAAGGAATTGTTAAGGCCAATCTCAATAATACGCCAACTCTAATACATACTTTTTCCACTTCTTTTAGGAGAGGAACTTCATCAATCGTTACTTGTCGACTTTTGATTTCAATGCGCTCAAATCTTCTCTCCTTGAAGTTATGAAACTATCCAAACTATAGATCGATGCCTTCAAACTCCATCATACATCATTGTAGTGCATGCTCATTATATATATAATTCAAATCGTTTATATCAAACTAATGTTGACGATCTTCTTCAATTTTAACGAGATAAATTTTATGTCAGAATATCATGATGCAAAAAGTGTCAGAATGTACTTCAAAGTTCTTTAATTTGCACTGAAATCAATATAGTATTATATTTTAGACTAAAATCAATACAATTAATGATATCATATAAAGACATTAATCTTAATATAAATTCAAAGGCATTCAAGCTTATCTTAACGCAAATTACTCAAAGAACCATTACGCATAAATTATTTATAAAAAATAAAATTTCAAACGAAATTTTTGTAAAAATGTAGATTTATTTATAATCGAAAGGATAGGTTTGCACTGCTGACATTTCAATTTCAAGGCATAAATGATACCTAAAAATCAAATTTGATCTAGCTCCAAAGCAAAGCATAGAGCTAGAGATAGAGATTCAATATATATGTACAAGGGCTTACTCTAACGGTCACAGATTTGAATAAGGACGAATTTGTACGTATTAAAGCTTTAACACTCCATCTAATTAAAAAAAATATATTTTTTTTGATAAATCATAATGCAAAATTTATCATAATGATCTCTACAATTTTTAAATTTGCTCAATAATTAATAAAATTTAGGGTATCAGTGTAAATTCAAACGCTAATAGAAGGACAAGGGACAACTAAAAACATTCCAATTACAAACCATGGCTGCCTAATGAACACCCTACTGGTAACAAACTAACACATTAATACCTTCAAGACATAAGAGCTAATTAAACTGCACAATCAAGATCGAAGTCCAGGTTTTGTTTTGTTCTTCACCACACAAATGATCAGTATCGCGCAGCTTTAATGGCTGCAACTCTAGCAGCGGTGGCAGCTCTATTTGCAGCAGCAACTGCTTTATTCACTTGCTCTTCCACACGAGGCAGAAGAATTGCGCTCTCTGCTGCTTTCCTTCCACACTAGCAAGAAATAATTTCAAATTACTCATATAATAATCAAATAGAGAAGCACACAAAGTATTTCTATACCTGTACAGATCGGTGAACATGAGGGTGCGAAGGAGAGAGGGGCTTCTTGAGAGTCCCGCAGTCCCATTCTCCTGATGTAGTTTTTCCGTTTGCGAAGGTGTAAGTTCCGAAACCTTGCTGTGTTCCTTCATGCCATGAGCCTTCATAGCAATGACCATTTGCAAAGTGATAAATTCCAAATCCATTCATCATTCCGTTGAAGTATTCACCCGCATATCTATCGCCATTTCTGATGAATAACAACGAATCATGAAAAATTTGATAAAAAATGGAGAAGCATGATAATATACCTGAACTGATAGAATCCTAAGCCGTGCTTCACGCCAAACTTGAATTCTCCCACGTAGTAGCTACCATCAGAGCAGCTCTGCACTCCTCGGCCGTGGATCTTCCCGGCGACCCACTCGCCGGCATAGTTTCCGCCTTTGTAGAACTGACAAACGCCAAAGCCGTTCTGGAGGCCACGGCGATAATGGCCTTGGTATCGAATGCCCTGCGCCCACCGCTCGATCCCGTAGCCGTCGTGCTTGCCATCGACCCAATCGCCCTCGTATCTCCCCTGCTTGAAGAAATCATAGACCCCGCTCCCATTGCACTTTCCTAAATGGAATTCTCCCTCGTAGGAGTCCCCATTGGGGTACAATTCTACACCTTGTTTATCATTAATCCTTCCTCCAGAAGCAGGAATCGGGCTCTCCACGTCTCCGATGAACCATTGAACGGAATCTCTCCGGCGCCGGGGGAGGAAAAGGCGGAACTTTTTGACGGCGATGAATGCAGCTACGAAGGCGAGACAGAGGTTTCGGATCGAGAGGGGCTCATCGCAGAAGTAGAGGTATAGGAATATGAGGACGGTGAGGAATATGAGGGGCAAGACATGGTAGTTGGCCGATAAGACTTCGTTAAGGGAGGAGAGGCTGTGAGCAGAGGATCGAAGGAATGAGGAGAGATTCCGCATTTCAATTTCTTCTCTGCGCGCGCTAGCTCTCTGATCGGAGCAAGAAAGTTTGCAGTAGTAACCACATAGTATCGGCTCGGCGGAGTGCATGAGCTTAGAGAGAAGAAGAATAACAGAATATAGCGAGAGAAAAGGCGGAGAAGTTGAGAGTTCCGTTTTATCCTAACGAAAATGGCGGCATTTTATTTAAAAATAATGAGGAACTTGACGGATTTCTTTCGGAAGGTGACAGCAGGACTAATGCCGCAATTGTTTTACTAATTTGGCGGATATCGCACCGTAGTTGGTCTGCCATTTTTCGATCATCTTGGCCCCGACTGTCAACATTTGACTGCATTAGCTCATCTAGCATTATCCGATTGACTTTGTTGGACAGTCAAAATCATCCATAGCTCGTTCAGATAGTTGGTGGAGCTAACGAAAAATAGAACCAAAAATCTGTTAGGATTTCATGGATTTTGAAACTATTGAATTCCGTTTAAGATGAGTATAATATTGTTGCGTCCTGAATATTCACGGCGGTAAAAAATTTTAAATTTAATGTCTTAGTTTTATACGAATACCCAGCACACAAATAAAAAAAAGAAGATATATCATTTATAAGAGATACCTCATCATCACCATTGAACAATTGCTTGACCACTACGAATCAAAATTGTTGAACTATTGCCCCTATCGTTATCAGATTATTACCTAACTATGATCCTTCAACTATTGTCACTCAAAATATCGTCTGCTGAATATTATCATCAAACTAAGAACCATCGACTATATTCATCCAATTAGGACCCCTCGACCATCCCAATCATAGTTACCTAGCTATAATACTCTGACGGCTGTCCCCTACTTACGTGTGAAATTTTTTTAGAAATTTTTTTGACCTAGAACAATATTTTTTTTTTCAAAAATCAATTTAAGTTTAAATCACAAACCGTTTTTATTAGAACATATAATGAGTGCGGGTACCTAAATGGATAGCCAACAATAAGATAATGTGGCTCATTTTTATTGATCTCGATACAAACAAATTATTACGTCTATATCTGGATTCACCGGACACCAATCCAACACCAAGATATACCAGGTCCAGGCCCAGTGTATTTAGTAATAATTCGCCCTCGGTACAGCCCCGCACTCCCCACAGAATAATAAATCTACATCAACTGAATTTCACCGGAGCAATCTCACCCACCCTTTCTCTCTTACACCAGAGAACAGAACGGAGCTTCCCGGCCGCCATGGCTTTAGCATCTCCCAGTCCCCCTTTGTTCCTTCTTCTCCCATCCCTAAGCCTTCGGTAATGCTCGTTCTCTCATCTTCTCAAAGTGCCGGTGGACGGAACCCTAGCCCCTTTCCTGATCACAGCCTTTCAGCCCAAACCACACCGACGCAGGCGGCAGCAGAAGTGAAGCGGTGCCTTCGATGCGGCGTTCTCTACCGAGACGAAGATAACTCTTCGACGGCCTACGCTTTCCACGGCCACACCACCTGTATCCTCCTTATTACATCTACCGAATGTAAACAAATTACCGCAAAGTCTGATTTTGTGTTTTACCTGTAAAAATTAAATGAATTTGGATTGAATATTAATGATAGCTGGAAAATTGAATTGACTGGCTTTCATTAAAATGAATGAGGCAGGCGATGAGCCATGTCTAGTTGATATCGAATTTAAGTTGAGTTGAGATTGGAGTAACAAAATTACTTTAAAGAGTTTCAAAATTGATCATAACTGAATCAACTAATCATCTGAATCTCGTTCAATTTCAGATAGATAAACTAAGTTTGGCTTGAATTGAGATTCAAATAGACATTTTAGATAAAAAGTTCCCTGTGGAAGAAAATCATGATCTTGAGAAATGAATTATACCTTATATTTGAGAAAAACAAAGAAATTAGATATAAGAAAGATTCTTATAAAACTACTACACAAAGAACCCAATTGAATCCTTTGTAAACATAGAAGGTGCTGCGCTATAGAAATACAATTCAGATAAAGAGAAAAATCAGTGTGATTTTGCATCGTCAAATCTAAACTATGACCATCCATTTGTCAACTATGTACTACAATTGCATGGAAAATGAATTTCAGATTGCGGGTGACTGCCCTCAATGGATTTTTTTTTGGGCAAAATTTTAAGACTAAGCATCATTAAAAATTTTATTAAGCGCCTAAACATGTTAAAAAAAATTTTAAAAGTAGACAAAGTCGCCCGTTTAAACGGTGACTTACCTTTGACTGTATTGGCGTATACGTGGCTCACTGATTTGACAGACTTTCGCCTTGCTAAAAGAAATCATTTCCTTTCAGGTTTTCTCCCTCACCCGTCGAACCCTTTCCTCTTCCCGTTTGCAAGCATTGTCGATCTACCATTACCTGCCGGTTGAAATGTTGAGGTAAGAGATTTAAATTTCTTTGCTAAATTAAGATAGATTGTTGTTGTTAAATATTTATTTTTCTTAGAAATATTTAAGTATAGGAGAGAAGCAGAGATTTAAACATTTATGGTTTGTATGTTTTTTTTTTTTTGTTGATTCTTGTTATGTAGTTAGGTAAGATTGTTTACAAGTAATTTTTTATGAGAAATGAGTGTTTTATTGCCATGGCTGGATGTTGGAAGGAAAACTTTTTTTTCCTCTTTAATTTATTAAGCAATGTTGAATGTATGAGTTAATTTGCTTAGATTAAATTTGGTTTGAAATAATTTTTTGATAATTATAATTTTTATATAATGACTAAAAATATGATAGTGTAAATTAATAATAACGTGTAGTAAGTATATGCGATTTGTTGATCTTTCATAGTGAAATATACGAGTTCAATTATGAGTGGACGAGATGCAACATTCATGCTAATGTATGGAGGTGAGTTACTGGTGGATACCAATTTCGCGCCAACTTATTATGGGTGTAGAAATCGTTCAATTCAAGTGCCAAGAAATATCAACTTATATTAGCTTAAGTTAAAGATACTCATAGCCCTAATGTACGATAATTCGAAGTTTTTTGTGAACTCGGTCTGTCGAGTGCATGTGGACAATGAGTTTATTGTTTCACATGTTAAAGATGACGAGTTTTGTGAAGTTCTATTATGCCAAGCTACTACTGAATTTCTCATCATGTACGTTGAAGTTGAAGATATTAGTTTGATAGGAGATAATACTGAGCATTCAAATTCACAAAGATATGAATCTTCGACCTAAGGTGAACGGGTTGATGTGCTTGCTTGTCCTTCAAGGCTAGAATCAGTTGAAGAGTTTATTGATCAGTGAGTTTCCTATATCACATATTATTAATTGTCCAATATAATACTTTTCTATTGATTAATAAATAAAGATAAATATTTTGAATGTAGTGATATAGAGAACCAATAATCGCATGAACCTCCAGTCCCTTCGACCCAATCGACCCCTTCTAATCATTACGATTATGAGACTACGAGTAGTGGCTCTTGCGAGCAGTGTTCTGATGAGAATGTTGATTTTTTACTAGTGGTGAATGATGGAGTTGAAGTTTTAATGAAGATATACGAAATGTCATCCAAGATTATTGCTCACTGAAGATGCAATGGTGGTAAATAATAACTATGTTGACACCTGTAGGACTACACAATAATGGGATCAGGAAGTTGAGTTTGATGATGTCCATGACAATGTGACAGTTGAGGATGACTTCTCGATTCATAACGTACCACTTAAAAGATGTGCTTGACAAGAAAGACTGATCTGTAATTTGCGTTACAAGGATGGTCAATCCAAAATAATATTTAATATAATGTCATCGCATCAAATACAAGGAAATTTATGATTCCATGTGCAAAGCATGATTGCCCGGTGTCTCCTTGCCTATGACAGTTGCATTCTGCTCAGAGAAAACACTCATTGATATATAAAAAATCTCATATATAAAGTACCAACATACCTATGCCTCTCCAATTATTGAAAGTGGTTACCGTCAGTGCAACTCGCAGTTTATAAGTTTTTATATACTGTCCACAATTAAAAAATAGATGGACTTGAAACCGAGGGATATAATTGGTCGCATGGAAGAAAATTTCAACATAAAAGTTTCATACATGAAGGCTTGTGATGCTCAACAAAAGGCTATTAAGGTTGTTTTTGGCAGTTGGGAGTTGTACCGGACTTTGAATTTGTATATGGATGTCGTAGCCTTTGCAATGCCACAAATTGTATATATAATTCAAAGCACACATACAAATATGATTCAAAAACTTTTATGAGCATTTGGTCTTGTTGCTGGGTGGACCTATTGTAGGGGTATTTTTAATCTTGATGGGACATTCCTGCTTGGTAAATATCAAGGGACATTATTAAATGCGATGGGCTTGGATGCTAATAATGGTTTATTTTCACTTGCCTTTGTTATTGTTGACTCAGAGTGTACTGAACCATGTATTTGGTTCCTTAGACAACTACACAAGCTCTTCCCAGTAGTTACAAATAGGCAAAATCTCTATATTATCTAAATCAACTGTAAACTCAGAGAGCAAATGAACCGGTTTACCAAGCTTGAGGTATCTACAAAAATTCACATTACATCATAAGAATAGCTTGGGTTTCACTATTCCGGTAGTTGGTGGCGAGTAGATCTCTGTTGTCGACTGAGCCCGTTAACAGATGTCGTAGATGTTTAAAAAATGAGAGGTTAGGAAACTCGAAGAATAAAGACGAACTTACATTACCTTTATAGGCCGAAATCTTTGATTGAACGGCGATGCCGAAATCCTTGGCTTAAGAGTGCTGAAGTGCTCGAAGGATTTTCCAAGCCATGATCGCTGCTCGCTGAGAGGGAGATGTCTGCGGATAACGTCGTGAGAGTTCAGAGGAGATGGGGTGACATATTTGATATTAAAATAGTCTATGAGAGGTAGGAATGAAATATTAAAATTTTGGGTGTTAGATATGTAAATAGGGTGGTATGTATGTAAATCCCCCTTTATTTTATTGTTATGCAGTTTATTGTTATAAGTTAATTGTTGAAACCTAGTCAAATTTTGTTTCGAATTGAGGGGGGTTATGTCAAGAATCAAAAGGGCAACCAGACATTGTATTTTCTGAGATACATGATAT